GTTGTGCTGTAACACCACTGTCCAGGGTTAGGTGGGGGATGAGCGCCCACAAACCTGTTTAACCCCGCCACATTTTTTATGTGTATGTCCCAAGTCAGGGGCCTGTAATTCAGTGGTTGTCGTTGGTTTATGTCTGTCATATTTGTTTTTCCTAAATTGTTTTGTTATAAATTAGGTCGTTAGTTTTCTCAATTGATTTGTTTCATATTTTTCTTGTCGGGGCCTTTTATAGCCGACTATACGGTATGGGTTTTTCTCATTGTTGTTACATTTGTATTGGCCTACTTTGATTGTAGGAAAGGAGTCTTGACAGTTTTCTGCTCAGTTATCATATGTCCTCGTAGACAATCTTTTGGTGTGGTTTACTATTTTATTGAATAGTGGGTTACTACAGATTACATATCAGTTAGAATTTTTGACCTTACTGTGGTTATTGATCTAAAAAAAAACATTCATTACATATTTTTTATTCAAATCTACATAAACCTTTAAGGGTCATTCGGTTACCGGATTCCTTGATTACTATTCTTCAGTCTTGCTGCATAATCATTGGAGTAGTGCCCCAAAGCTAATCCAGTTAGACAGTTTAAGAGATGGTTAATCATTTTAGCATGTATACCCAATTGCTAGCAATACAGGCTTCTAGAAGCCTTTGGTCATTTTTAACTTTACCTCATCTGTGATTTTTTCATCTAAAGTGTTACAAGTAGTATCAGGTAGTCGATATTAACTTTGAAAATACCACTTTTTGCTTTATATTGTAAATGCTATTTTGTCAAGCGAAGAGTGCAAATAATTGTTAACCTATGAAACCAGAGATTTGGTTTTTAAGACAGTACATGTTTATTTGCCAAAGATTAACTATAAAGATTAGGAATTTGATGATTTTCATTGCAAAAGATGTGATTTTCTAATAAAATACAAATAAATCAAATCCTCTCCTTTAACTAGAATGTTATCGAATCAATTGAAATATTCTTTATTTACATTTTATAGCATCCATTTAAAAAGCAAGAAATCAATTTGAGTTTCCGTTATCCCACTGTAACAATTTTAAATAAATTATTACCTTTCTCAAATGCATGTTTTGAGTAATGATTATTCTAAATCCTTCAAGATGGCCGCCCTAACGGAACGTGAAAACTGGTAAGGGTTACAGTTGAAGTTGGATTTGTCGTTTGAGTTTGGGTTTAAGTAAGAAGTAAGACAGAAAGGTTGGTCTTGTCAGTATGTTTTTATTAATTCTTTAAAATAAACAATTCAAAAGTTGTTTATATAAAAATACTTACAGTAAATCGAAAAATGAGTGTCCAGTAAATAACAAAACGTCTTCATCGACTGAGTTCTCGATACAAAGGAATATTGCCCAAAAAAAACAAAGAAAATGCAAAACCTTGAAACCTCTATAAGTAAAAGTAACACGGGTTAAGGTCTGTTAGTTGAATAAGTTGCACAATCTATCTTATCAAACTAATTGTTAAGGTACGATCAAACTATTTATAATTTTATAATTCTAATGACATTCAGGAATCCAAGATGGCACAACTGCTTAATAATGGGAACACAGTCACTAAATTTTAAACAAACAAACATTCAGAGGTCCAAACGAGTCTGCATTGCTCTCCCGGTCCTAGTTGTTAACTGAGTTTAACAATAGTTAAAATTTTCCGCAAGTTTAAATTACAGTAAAGACAATATTGCAAAGTTTTCATGTTTTAGTAAAAAATGTACCTTGAATCCAATACTTGGTTTTTCTCCCGATAGAATACTGTGCTTGTGGTTTTCTCCCGATTGAATACTGTGTTTGTGGTTTTTCTCCCGGTAGAATACTGTGCTTGTGGTTTTTCTCCCGATAGAATACTGTGCTTGTGGATTTTCTCCCGATAGAATAATGTGCTTGTGTTTTTTTTTAATATATATATTTTTCTAAATACTATTTTTTTTTCTTCTCCAAAGTTGTAGTTCTGCGCCGTCATTAGGCATTGAATTGGTCACTTATTCGGAAATACGATAAATTGTTGTAAAAAACTTTTAAAAAAACACACGCGAGGCAGTGCTACTAAAAATTTTAGCAAAGAGTTGAGTATTTCTCAAAGAATATATGATATGTGATAACACGCAATGAAAACAAAACTGGTAAACAGAATCTCCTAAATCATCATTTCCTTAAGTTCGGAAGGACTTGACAATGTTGCTTCAGAGAATCAAGAATTGACTCTCTCTACATCATTGGTGCTATGTGTGCTATCTCGTCATCACAAAATGTGAGATCTTATAAAATGTTCATCCAGTTATCATTTCTTTTAAGATTAAAAAGAGTTAGCCTAATAGTTTCGTGACAAAAGAAGTTTCAAATAGCAGATCAGAATTTACAATTACGTCTTGTAACAATGTTTGTTCAGATTATCTTCCGATGCTCGCCAAAATAATCTCTATGTTCTTCCTGTAATTAGTACTCTGAGCAGTGTTGTAAAATTTGACAGTTTAAGCAAAGGTTTCTACCAAGTCAAGAATTTGACAATTGTTTTCCATTCGTTTGATGTGTTTTATCTTTTGATTTTGATAAGCGACTTTCCGATTTGAATTTTCCCTGGAGTTTGGTATTTTTGTTATTTTACTTTTTACTTTTTTTTGTCTGTAACTGTAACTGTCTACTTCTACCGTGGTCAAAACCAAAAAATGAATTAGCTCAATTATGAAAACGAAGGCTATCGTGTTAATATGTAGTAAAAGTTATTTCCGTTCAGATTACGGTGTTTCACTTCATGATTGCTTGATAATTTAGTTTTCTGTGAGAGCAACTAAACGGCAAATATCTTTCTACTACCAAAATAATAAATTATAGACGCCTTTTGTGGTCCCTTACAAGTTATATTCTTACGATTTACTTGCAACATAATCGAAGCATACTACGCCTTACCTTCTTTGAAAAAAGAAATCTCTAGACTAAATATTCACATTTCTAGATTTGCATACGTGTACTGGGAAAATATTGTCGGCAAATATTTTATAAACGAGTGTGTGCGTTCCTTTTTTCTTTCTTTCTTTCTTTCTTTCTTTCTTTCTTTCTTTCTTTCTTTCTTTATTTCTTTCTTACTTACTTCTTTTGTTTACATTAAGAGACAAGGCAAATTCACATTAATGTTTTTTATAAGGAAATGAAAACATTAAGCCAGATTAAGATAAATGAAGTTGTAGTTTCGGTAGTCTTTGCCGCTTTTTTCCGATGACATCCAATTCTGAATAATGATATAATAACACAGAAATATTATTAAAAACTACTGTTATTCGAGACATGTAATTAAAATTCAGTAAGTTATTAATATGTAAATTTGGTATTCACCAATGAATGGTGTCTGCTTGCATTGATTCATTCTAAAGAGGTCTTTCCACTTTTTCGTGGAAAGACCTTGTGATTTTGTTCTGATTATTATTCTTTTTTCTTTATTTTCTTCTGCCTAATTTTTCTCTTGCGCGGTATTGTTGTTTCAAAGGATAGTGCTCAGAAATTTGTATATGATATCGAACAGTATATACGTTTTTTAAACTGACCCTGCTTAACCGAACACTTTATTTAGTAAGAGTTATCTCCCCGAACATTGTTTTTCTTGTGTAAACTACTTCGTCGCAAGCATAAAAGATTGCGACAAATTTTTTTTACTATTTTGATCGAAAAGATCTGAAGTTTCCATATGAGAATTATTTCCCTTTATGTAAAAGACATTGTAGTGAAATGTAATGGTAACTCATAACCCATAAGTGATAGAGATCTAAGGTCTTTTGATTTGAGGTCCTGTGTCAACCAAAAACAAAATGAAGTCAAGGTCATGTTTTAATTTTTTACTTTTGCTTGTGCATGCTACTCCTAACAAACTAGTATATATCGACAAAAGATTTACACTAAATTGCTAGTTGCGATATGTTGTAACAGAATATGTTTTCTACGAAGCGGTACGGTTACATTTTCTAGGAGCTTTCTCCCCTGGAATGTTAAAAAAAGATGTGTGGTAAAATAACTTATTTACAATACATATTAGAGGCCTAAGGTCTTTTGATATGAGGTCCTTGCTTGATGACCTTGAAATTGAGATAAAGGTCAAGAGTAAATTTGACATTCTAGATTTTGACCTTTGCTGTAACTTTATGTTGAAACATGATAAAGCCAAAGGGTCTTTTGCATTTGGTAGGAATACACATGGCCTTGAAAAAGTTAACCGGAAGTGGCCTTTAGTAAACCAGATGTAGCCATTGTTTGCATTGGTTTTATAATATAAAAGTATCTATGACCATATATTTTTGTAATCAGTGTCAAGTGACCTATCATATAATACCGAAAGTGACAGTAGCAAATTATTTTCTTTGTTTTTTAGCAAACGTGTATAGAAGGCATATAGTTTTGTAATCAGCTTTAAGTAAGCTATCGTGTGTCACCAGAAAGGACATTTTAAAACGGCTTTTAATATTTCCTATCATTTTTGTGCATCTTGGATGGAAAGACCTTCAATTGTTCTCTGAACAATTGGATTTTAATTTTCTTTTTTTTTTTCTTTTTTATCAAAATCATTTTTGTCGATAAATTTATATTTGAATCTTATCATTGAAGCATTCAATTACATCTATATCTAAATTCAAAGTAGTTTAGTTTACAAAAGAAGTAAAATTAACAATGGTATAAACTGTTTAAAAAAGACCCATGTTATGAATTTACCGATGAAAGTATAAAATAGAATAATTCGATGTGAAATTTTTGTCAAATTGTAGTATAATGATATTTATCGAAACAAGGTGATCGTCTTTAATTTTTACAATTTTTGTAACCATTCATAAATTTATATATCAAATGTCATAATTAAGTTATGCAAGAACAAATGTATCGGTGATAAGAACTGTCGTATCACGTGGTGTAATATTTAGCATTTGGTATGTCTACCAACCCAGAGCTTGAATATTCAATGAATAAAGTAGTGCATTTTCTTCAAACTTTACGGTTTTCATTTCAGCAAGGTCAGTATGAAATGGAAAGAAATGACAGTGCTTTTGAAAGTGTTGACATAGATTATGGTGAACTAGACGACGAAAAGAGAACGCCAACACCGGAACCAACACGATCTCCACCTAAGGTAAACAAACGCAGAAATTAATGTATGAGATATGTTTAATAAACCATGAGCCATCTTCATTCAAAAAAAAAAAGGGGCCTCGGTAGCCGAGTGGTCTCAGTAGTCGAACTACTGTATCACTAGTCTGTCAACACTGATGTTGTGAGTTCGAATCTCGCACGGGGCAGGTGCACTCGCCTCCGATCTTAATTGGCTAGGATTTTCTGTTTTCCTACCGGTTTTTATCGGGCACTCCGGCTTCCTCCACCAATAAAAACTGACCGCAACGAAATAGCACAATAGTGTTGAAAGTGGCGGTAAACACCAATCAATCAATCAATCAATAAATCACAAAAAAGTCATTGCTGTTTTTCAATATTTTACTTTTTTATAGAAAAAAAGGGTTCAAGAAGAAATTAATTCCGATCCGTTTCTTATTAGTATGTTTATTAATATGCTTTTCGTGAAACATATCGTCTTTCCTTTTGTAGGAACAGAACATGGACCAAACACCAAGGGGAAGCCGTGTAAGTATACCTTATAATCATTCTGTCGAAGAAAAAAAATAAAATGTGAACAATCGATTTCATTCAAGGATTTTATAATGTATTAGAAACCTACTATTAACATTTGACAAACGAAGGTAGATGTAATAATGGTTTACTTACAGAAAGAGAGGAAATATATTATAAGAAAACATGCATTGACTGTTTTCAAAACTTTGAACTGTTCAAAATATTAAGGATTTTCTACCCCATTAATAGATTACCTTAGCTGTATTTAGCAAAACCTTTCGGAATGTCGGTCCTCAATGCTCTCTAACTTCATTCTTAAAGTTTATTTAGCCTTTTAACTTTTTTGATTCAAGCGTCACTTCTGAGTCTTTTGTAAACGAACCGCGCGTCTTGCATACAAAATTATAAGCCTGGTATCTTTGGTGAGTTTTTTAGATGAATAACAACGTATCCCGAAAACGAAAGGCGCTGGCAACTTTCAGCAATACAAAAAGAGGAATCCCAGTACCAGATCATTGAATCTGTACCTATGTTAAATTATTGAATCTGTACCTATATCAAATTATCATTCTTTCTGTGGATTATAGATTCCGAATTAGATCAGTATATAAAAAAAAGATTACGGTTAAGTGATAACGGAAACTGGTACAAAAAAAAATATATATATATAAACAAAATATCAACAAAATCAATATGTTCACCAACCAAAAACGTAAATAAATTATAGGCAGTAAAAAATAAAAAGACAAAACATGTCAAAATATTAACATCTGTAAGATCTTTGTGAAGGGATTTATAAGTGAAAATAATATAAAACAAAAATGTCAACAAGAACGTACACACAATTGTAATGATGGCACTTACAAAACGTTATGAAACTCGAGATAGAAAAGGAATGGTAAGGATTCTGAATTACCTAATAACCTAAAAAGGATTTGATAAAGCAAATGATACGTTATATTTATGTTTTATTCTTTTATAAATGAATGCAATTCATGATTGAAATTTATATTGCAATTATTCAGCTTTATCAGTGGTTGAATTGCATCATAAAAATCTTTTTAAAAAGTAGATGATCTTTTGTTTCAGCAACGTCCTATTAGAGGTGATTCAAGACGGTCTCTGTCAGAAACTCCACCACTTCCTCCCATAAAGCAAAATCCAGACACTCCGAGATTAGAGAGGAAGAATAATCCAAATCAAGACTCACCTGGAAGATCCAGCAGTCAGGTAAAACAGCGGCAAGTACTTCCTCCAATAAAAGGAAATGGAGGTTCATCTGGTAGTTATGCTGTCGAAGATGATCCTTCTCGTGATAATGTCACACGGCCAAGAGATGATCGACAATTTGATCCGGATATTGGCGTTGGTGTCATGGTAATAGGAACACAAAACCCACGATCAAGGTCTCCTGAACGAAGTTCTATGAAACGTTCCAAGTCTAGATCGCCTAAAAATATCATTATACATAATCATACATCTAGACAAAGGTCTCATGAGAGATCTAGATCACGAGAACGAGATCGAAGAAGATCTCGATCAAGATCACCTGAAATCAATGTTAACGTTATCAACACGCGATCTAGATCAAGTTCGACAAATCGTCGCAGATCCAGAAGTTCGTCGTCAAGAAGACGGCGTAAATCACGGTCTCGCACTCAATCAAGAGATAAGCGTCATATTGTTATTGTCAATAGATCTAATAGTAGATCTAGATCTAAGGACAGACATAGCAGACGTTATTCGCGAAGTCGAAGTAAAAGTTGTTCAACTTCACGACGACATAGAACGCGTAGTAGAAGTAGTTCTGTTGATGTAAAGATAGTAAACACATCAAGACGTCGGAAATCACGATCAAGGTCATCTTCCAGGGGAAGAAGGAGATCAAGATCAACATCAACATCAAGAGGAAGAAGGAAAACAAGATCACATTCTCGCGAAAAGAAAATTATTGTTCATAAAGGGCGTTCACGTTCACCATCAAGAGGTAGAAAAAGAAGAAGTTCGAGTCCTAGAAAGCGATCATTGTCTCGGGGAAGATCTCATGAAAGGAGACATTCATCAAGATCAAGAAGCCGATCTCTTAGCTTCGATATCAATAGTAAAAGTAGAAGACACAGAAATAGTTCTAGTCCAGATCGAAAGCATTCGAAAGATAAAGGAAAGCAACCTCTTAAGAAGAAAGAACTAAACTGGAAGCGTTCAACTAGTAGATCACCATCTTCAGATCGTCGTCGCAGAAGTCCATCACCAATCAGAGCTGTTGCAGCCGCAGCAAGACCAAGGGAAGTTGCCCGCGCAGAGACTAGCGAAAAAGCTCGATCGGGCAATTCTCCATCGTCTTCACGTAAAGCGAATGACCAACGACTGCCATCGTCTTTAGCAATAGAATTAAATTCTCCGTCGAGACGATCAGCGCCTTCTGACACAAAATATCCATCGAACAATAAGCCTACTCGTGGTTCAAAAACAGGGAAAAATGACGACGAAATGAAAGGAATTATAGAGCAGTTAGATCAGTTAGCAGATTATAATCTTAACTCTATTATGGGTAAATCGAATGATTCTTCGAAGCCTAAAGTAGATGAAAAAGTTATCAAAGAATATTTAGGAGATAACTACCAGAAAAAGATGGACAAATTTTTACATAGTTAGTGTAAATGACTACTTAAAATGTTATATCCTTGACATGTAAGCAGTGTATATATGTTATGAATATGAATGACGGCAAACAATGTATCTGATGCTAAACGCGATATAAATTAGTGTAATTCTCAAAAGAAGTCGACAACAACAAAAAATCTCAATGGAGCCATTCGACCAAATATATAGTGAAAAGAAGGACTTGTACAATTTTAATGTGCAAAGTTAATATTGGGGACTTATTTTTATATAAATCATATGCATTGCAAAACTGTATAAATTAGCAGAGTTATATAATTAGATTTGTGAAATTTGTGACGGGCTACTTTAGTACATTAAATTGGTGTATATTATTCTATCTTTCTGATTGTTTGAATAAGGAAAGTCAGAGACCGACATTACCATTATATCCATAAAATTGGGTTGTAATATTATATATATCCGTTTCTTAACATGAAACGTGTTTCTTGTTTGTAGAAGGGGGGATATTATTAATAATGTATGCTCAAATTTTGTTTTTGTTGAAGCTGGGTTTTTCCAACGGATTAAAATATCAAAAAAGTATTAAAGAGTTTATATAAAAATCGTGTGAGAGCAATTTTATCCTAGAAAAATAAATAAAAAGAATTCCCCAAAAAATATACCATTTACATCAATAACATAATTTAATTATTCTTATATATGTATCTGCAAATAACATGACATCTTGTTGTTTTCATTTGCCTCGCTTACATGGACCAAGTTTTGCAGTTTAATTTTGAATTAGGTTTTTGTTATCGACAATAAGTTGATATTTTAAGAAATATGCTTCAAATCGACTCAACAGATGTATCAAACATATATAGCACAGCAGAGGATATGTGTTACTATTGTTTTGAAATTGGAAAATTATTATATTTATAAATTTCCGTTAATGAATTTGTGATAAGTTCTTGACCTTCGATCGTTTTTTGATTATTTACAATAAGCTGTTCATTGATTGTAAAGTAACATTAAACTGGTAGCTATTTGTCCAAGGTACTTGATCTATTCTTGCTGGTTGGTAAATGTTTGTTTTTTTTCGTATACTGAGTATAATTTTCAAAGGACAGAAAATAACATCAAATATTTAAAGATAGCACAATTCTAACACCGCGGGTGTTTTATAAGTTTTGCCTGATTGATTTTTTTTTCAATTATTTAATTTTATTTTTGGGTTGCACCTCCCAAGTGCTATACCATTTTCCAAACGAATGCTGTAGAAAGCTTAGCTTTATTTTCTTAATGTTGTATTGATATTTATACTTTTTATTCATGTGTGTGATATTTTGTGCTTTTCGAAAACTTGTAATATACCAATGAAAATTTGTCGATTGCTTCTACGGTAAACTTCAGTTTAGTTCCATTTCTTATGAATGGCGTTAAGATGTTTAAAATCCAAGGACTACATTATACTCACTTGTTCTAGACCGATTGTAAGATAAAAAATATAAGAATTTGTAACTCGCAGAGTTGAACAGTGGGAACAAATTGGCAAAATACGTATAAATACATTGTATTATCCAAGAAGTACAACAATGACATCTGTTACTTAAGCTTGTTATATATACATGTTCACTTTATATGTAGCTATTAAATGTAAGTACCTATATATTTTTTTCGACCAAAGATGTGATATTTTATAACAGTCTGTGATAAATATGTATTAAATTGTTGTTGTTGCTGATGTTATTATTGTTAAATGTTTACTATTTCTATTTCAAATTGATTGGCTTGTGCAATAAAGCATCAATTTTCCAAATCTTATATTTCTCACATGGCCATTGATCTTTAAGCCAACAAGGATTATAATAGAACAGACCACATTTTGTAATCTTAAAAATTCTAGTTATAGCTACTGATTTGCTTCAATATGATTTAATAACAACATATAAAACCGATTTAAGGACATACCTCACAAGTTTCTTGAATAACTTTCCTCGAGTACGCTGAGTCATGATATACTGTTTGAGAAGACAATTATATAAAATATTGTGCAAACATCAAAACCAAATGAACCTTAACAATACAGCCATACATGTATGAAGTCAACATTATCTAATTGAGTTTAGGACAATTGCATTATCTATTATGAAGTTTTAGTTGAAATGTAACATTAAATCAGTACCAAAGTACTGGTAACAGGGTGAATACTGCACAATGATATCAATAAAAACATGATATTATGATTTGGCTTGACCCTTATTTTAAATTACTCATCATTTTATATATATGTAATGATCTGATTTATAGATCAACAGATATTGTCTAAAAGGTTTCCAAAATGCTCAGTCTATTTATAAGAACTGTGTTCTTTTCATTTGACTTACTGATCAAAAATCAAAACGGTGTATTTTCAAAGACAATTCTTAAGCTAGGTTTGGTGAAGGTTGGAGCAATGGTTCAAAATGTCATCCTGAAATCAAACTTTTGCCCTAATATCAGTATATCAATTTCTGTTGTGAATATAAACATTTGACCTAGTGACCTCAACATCAAAATAAATGTTCTTATCATCTCATGGGAAATTATTATATCACGTTTAGTAAAAGACGGACATGTGTTTTAAAAGTTAATATCTGAAATCAAAATTTTCCTAACATTTTCGTCTATCGATAACTGTTGTAACCTTGCCAATTGACCAATCTACTTCAAAATCAACAAGGATCTTACACAAACCGTTGTGCATTCAAATCAAAATGGAACTGATGTTCAATACATCTTATCCGGAAACCAAAATTTTACAAAAATTCAAATATATCAATAGCGAATGTGACCTTGACTTTTGACCAATTAACTAATAGGTGTCTTGTGTGATCTATGGGGCATCATCAAACAAGGTTGGGCAACAGTTTGACATGGTTCAAACGAAAACATCCAGTGCCCACATTTCAGTCTATCAATGGCTGCTGTGACCTTGAATTTTGACCCACTGAGCTCAAAATCAATAGGGTTTTCTCATCCCATGGAACATCATTAATCCAAGCATGGTGAATATAGTTTTTATATCTCAAAAAAATTGGACTGGAAATTGTAATTTTTAAAGCCAGATGTATTTTTCAATGGACTACTCCAAAAGGGTCAGTTAACTATTTCCGTCATGTTGACTAATTTGTAGATCTCATTTTGCTAATCTATTTTTTCTTCTTTTTGCCTTTCTATCTGCTGAATTTCTTTAAATAATGCAAAAACGGGTACAATTCTTCCTTCATTGACAATAGTTCCGATAAGGAACCAGAACCAATTCAAGGAAGATTCTTACCATGTTAACATGTGTAGTTTTTATTGTGTTCATTATTTTTGTAGTGTATAGTTTCTCTCTATTGATCATAGGTTTTACAACAACAAAAAACCAAGATAGATTATTTAAAATCGTCTGTTATGGCCTTTAACTTCTATAAGAAGTCTACTGACAATTCCTCTTGTGTATGAAGATTGTATTTTGCTGATTATTTTTATTATACGAAGATTTATCTTTCTTTTATTGTGTCTTATGTTTTGATAGCTGTAAATCATTCAATTGACAGCAAGTTATCGAACTTCCTCTCCAGAAAGAATTTTGAATTTGCGGTTTTTCAAAGGAAAATCTAGCATTTTAGACATTTGAAGTTTCGTGGCACTATAATACGGGTGCAAACGGGTCATTTGATAAAAGCCAAATGACCAAGCGGGTAATAAAAAAAAAACGCCGTAGAGCTCTTAAAAGCCCGGGTGTGACCCGCAAAAAATTAGGTTAGTTGACAGGTATGTCATGTAGCTTAAACAATTATTGCCAGTGGTAGTGTGAAAGGGACATATTCAGGTTATCTAGCGACAGCCTGGCAGCCTTACAAACATAAACATTTCTTTATAAGATAAAAACGTATAACAAAAATACCGAACTCCAAGGCAAATTCAAAAAGGAGGAGTCCATAAAAACTGACAAAATCAAACGTTATCAACCAATGGGTCGAGTGGAAAACAAATGTCATATTTCTGACTTGGTACAGGAATTTTCCGAAGAAAATACTTGGTAAAACCTAACTTAATAGCTAGCTAAACCTCCCACTTGCATATAGTTCCAAAGTATTAACAAAATTGGGTAGGTAACCCAATCAGAAACAATAGGTTAATGTGACAATATTTGGGACCAAGCAGCCAAAACTGTGAACACATACATCATAGACATACAACACAACGGATTAAAAATTTCAAACAAACATACAAACAAACAAGGTGTGCATAGGTAAAATTTATGAAACATACCATAAAAAATGCGATCAGGTTTCATATACATCCTGTGTACTACCTTGTGTCCCAAGTCTGAAAGTTATACTAGTATACAAGAGTTTTGTTTGCTCCGTGTTGAAGGCTTCTACTGTGACTTTGAGATGAAGAACAGCAATAGAAGCGCTGTTCCTTTGCTTTTGCGTGTTTTTTGCTGTGCATGTACTAATTTTGTGTCATGAATGGATACCCCATATCCTTTGTTTTTCTATTAAGACATAAATCATAAAAATATCTAATTGAGTGTATAAACAGTATAACACTGTATTAATAAAATGTAGAAAGAAATGTGAATATTATAAATTTCTTTAGCTAAAGATAAAGATGAAAAATAAATAGATTTACATACTTTCTAAAGGGACAATTTGAATAAAGTTCAGTATAAACTAGACGTCAATAATTATGACATTTTAACTGGGTGTTAATTTGAAAGAGACGATTTCCTCGTCGACACACCCGTTCTCGCTCCCTTTTGGGACTCCCTCAGTTTTTGTTTGTTACCATGATTTGTACCTTCGATTTACGAGATTTGAACATTGGTAAATTACTGTTGCCTTTTATAATTGTGTTTGTTGAATAAAAGCACTTTTTATATTGTCTTTTAGTTATATTTTTGTTCATGCTTATACTTATGTTTTTGTTCTTTGTACGACACTGCTTCTATGGACGCCAAAATTGGTAATAAAGAATGTAAAATTGAGAATGGAAATGGGGAATGTGTCAAAGAGACAACAACCCGACCATAGAGCAGACAACAGCCGAAGGCCACCAATGGGTCTTCAATGCAGCGAGAAACTCCCGCACCCGGAGGCGTCCTTCGGCTGGCCCCTAAACAAATATGTATACTAGTTCAGTGATAATGGACGTCATACTAAACTCCAAATTATACACAAGAAACTAAAATTAAAAATGATACAAGACTAACAAAGGCCAGAGGCTCCTGACTTGGGACAGGCGCAAAAATGCGGCGGGGTTGAACATGTTTTTTGAGATCTCAACCCTCCCCCTATACCTCTAACCAATGTAGAAAAAACAAACGTACAACAGTACGCACAGTAAAACTCAGTTTAAGAGAAGTCCGAGTCCGATGTCAGAATAGGAAACAAAAGAAAATAAACAAAATGACAATAATACATAAATAACAACAGACTACTAGCAGTTACTGACATGCCAGCTCCAGACCTCAATTAAACTGATTGAAATATTATGTCTTCATCATATGAATATCAGGCACAATCCCTCCTGTTAGGGGTTTAGTATTATACCGTCATAAAATATATGAGAAGAACACAACCCGTGTCATGCCAACAACTTTTTTAGAATAAATATGTTTAATTCCGATGCAAAGACCCTATAAGTGAATCAATATTAAAGCCAAAATATGCAATCTTTAATGACCTTACAACAGTATCGTAGCTATATCCCTTCTTAATAAGTCTGTTTAAAGGGTTTTTTTTAGCTTTTTAGGTGAATACTGGCATTTTTGTGCTTTGTAAAGAATATTGCCATAAAAGATTGGATGTGAAATACCCGAACGTATAAGATGTCTGCATGTTGAGTTATATTTACGAATGATGTCCTTATACCGATGATAAAATTTAGTAAATGTTTTGACTAGTTTATGATATCGAAAACCCTGATGTAATAATTTTTCAGTAATATATAAATTTCTCTCGCTAAAATCTAATACGTTGTTACATACACGAGCGAATCGTACAAGTTGAGATATATAAACACCATAAGAAGGTAACAAGGGAACGTCACCATCTAAAAATGGATAATTAACGATAGGAAATGAAAAATCATCTCTTTTATCATAAATTTTTGTATTAAGCTTCCCGTTAATGATATAGATATCAAGATTGTGGAAAGGACAGTGGTCATTGTTAGTATTAGCTTTATTTAAAGTAAGTTCAACAGGATAAATTTCTTTAGTATACACACTGAAGTTGTCATTATTGAGAGCCAATATATCATCCAAATATCTAAAAGTATTTTTAAATTTTTGTATCAGATGTTGTTTCGATGGGTCTTTGCTGATTTTAGTCATAAATTGTAATTCATAACAATACAAAAACAGGTTCGCAATAAGTGGTGCACAGTTAGTCCCCATTGGAATTCCGATAACTTGACGATATACGGAATCTCCAAAGCGAACAAAAATGTTATCAAGTAAAAATTCAAGGGCAGATATAGTATCAAAGCATGTCCAATTGACATAGCTCTTTTGTTTGTTGCCACTAAAAAATGACCTAAAAGAGTTTGAACATATGTATTCGCATTCCGACTTTTTAAATGCCCATTTGATTAGGTGTGTGAATTTTTTCTTAATATGAATATGAGGTAAAGTGGTATATAGGGTAGAAAAATCAAAACTTTGAACAGATTCAAAATCACCAATATATGCATGCAATTTATCAAGTACTTCCAACGAGTTTCTGACACTCCAAAAGTAGTTAATTCCACTATTTTCAAATGCCTTATTTGAACAATTTA